GGATCAAGACCTAAAAAATATACGACTTAAGCAAATGGATAAACTTCATCTCTGCCTCGTCAGCAGGGTCCGTCTTGAAAAACGTCAAAAATTTCGTACAGGTTTACTCTCAGTCACAGCTCATTGCAAAGCCGACCCACGATACCGGATCACCGTTGGGCATAATTGTGAATGACCGTGACGTAAGTCCAAAAGTTGGACGCTAAAGACTGTGCTTTCGGACTGCTTAAGTATGTAATTGCAGCCCTAAGGACACCCGCCCTTGGCTCGAGTCCGTTGCCGTGGACTGACGATCCTTGGAACAGTCAACATTGCAATGCTGCTGGCCGGCTTAGAGGGAGTATTTCACATCTGAATGGGGCTCCGAGCTGAAATAGTCATCCTGGAGATTATTTGGCCCAGTTCACAGCTCCGCCCTTCTCAAGACGTAAAAACTTATAGCTTATGAGCTACATGCCCGCTAAGATGTGCAGAATATTTGGTGCAGACTACTTCAAGGCTGTTCAGGCGTGCATGAAGCCATAGCAGCGTTACTTGAAATCCAGTACCATTCGCCATGCGGCGTGTAAGACCAAGACAAATACAGCCGACGAATCCCTTCTATCTGACGTCTATGAGCATGCTATCCAGATATAAAGGACCTGAACTGGCTCTCAACCAATGTTTTGCAGGGCGTGCAACTTTAAATCACGAAGTACTTTTTGTGCCACATGATACAAGAAGTTGGACATGGTTGCTAGTTCTTGCGGAGATATAACTTGTAATCGAATAACTTAAAATTAACGCCATAAATGAGCATGTGAATGCAAGCAAACACCTAAAATTCGAGGATAGGTGTGCGCGAATACTACGGAAAGGACCAAAACCCGAGAGCATAAATATATTTTGTTCAGTAAACACCTCCAACACCGCCATGGACACCTCTCGGGAGATTTAACTTCTTCAATTATACGACCATTTTGGCATCACCTTAGTGTCATACAAATGTTTCATGACACAATCAAACAACGAAGCACTGTGAAGCATATTCGCTGAATAAAGAAATTTTGTTGTCCAGAGCAGTCTTTTACACTGAAAAGTGTTCCAATATTTATGAGTGAGCTTATCTTAGCATATCTGATGCTGCCTTCAATATTCTCAAAAGTGGAGCATTCTCTTTATGACAGACCTACTGACTAGCCGCTTGCCGGCATTGGTGCGCGAAGAACCACCGACAGCATTTCGTCCTAGCCTTTACATCTCTTGTTGGCCGACTTGCACCATCCAAACGTGGAATGATTAGAGCTCTGTGCGCTCCACACCTGGCAGCTGCCATTTGTGACCTGACGCACCGGCGGCGCGCGGCCCAGAAGGACGCTGGGGGGGGGGGGGGGGAGCAGCGACCTGACCGCACAGGTCACAGCCGCGACGCAGCGGAACGTGGGGAACAGCTCAAGGCGGTGCAGTGCGACCTTCTCATGCAATCGCCTTGAACTGAGATACCGGTTCTAAGAAAAAGGTCACCGATGCTCATGTGTGTCTTTGTTACCTTGAGACGGTTATGGCAATCAAAATTATGCGAGATTGTTTTGATTTTCACATTTGAATGAACGTCTGGGGATTTTAGATCAGTAGTCTACTTTGACCTTAAACACGTGTCCCGGTTGGACTGCAGAATATCCTTCACTAGGCTGGAGGATCAGTTTGACCGCTGAGATTTCAAAGAAAAATAGAGGCACCAAATTCACAGAGTAGATTGACCTGTACGTAAACTCAATTGTGTCAAAACTTGTGGTTGCTAAGTAATAGCTTTGGGGTTAAATGAGGTCAAACAAGGTCAAACTCCGTATTGGTGTCTCAAGTGCCTCCAGACATCCTCATGCAACCACCGCACCTGCTCTTAAAAAATTCAATGAGGTCAGCGACCTTGTTTTACCTTTATAACTTTAAGATGCATATCTTCGCGATCACTTATATTTTGCCTTTCGAATGCTTGTCAGGGATAACAAAAGCGGCAGTTCCTAAAAATAAAAATGTTGACCTGAGTCACATCAGATAAGTGACCTACTCTGATCTTTAGAAGGTCCATGGAACATGTATATTACAGACCCTGTCATAAATAAATTCAAAATCAGCACCAGAAACTACCAACAAAACCAAGCAGGTTAGTCTCGACCTTGTTCCGACCCTCATACTTGACACTAAATCAGTGTGATTGGTTGTAATTATCAATGAAGTTGATTTGCTGCCCAAGACACCATCTCAAATTTGTATGGCCTCGTCCAACACTCCGTTGTTGCATCACATCAAAAGGTTCCCTAGAAATGTCCTTTGCTGACGGCCATGGCCTGACTTTATCCGCCATAGGTGAGCGACCCTATAAGACACATCTTATGTTTACATCAAAAGATCCACTGTTCAGTTCTCTATAGCTGTGCTAACTTTGGTGTGGCTACGCCGCGCTGTTCGGAAAGCACCGTGGGAAAACGCGGCCCCTGCAATTTACAAATTCGAAGTGAACACCAGGAACTATCTCATACAGCAAGCTCTCAAGACCCCAGAGTTCGGACCTAGCGCCTGGGTCTGGACTTCATACCTGATCCTACGCCAATGCAATGTGTTGCAATTCTAAATTCATTCTTTGTTGCCTAGGGAAATATCTCAGACATTCATCTACCACTCGACGGCGTCGTCCAACATTCCACTGTCGCATGAGATTGAACGATTCCCTAGAAACTGCCTTCGCTGAAAGCCACGACCTGTCTTTGACCTGCAATAAGTCAGCGACCTTACAATGCAATATCAAAGTGTATGCCAAAAGTTTCATTATTAAATTGCCCACATCTGCGTAGAGTTTGGCACGGCTGTGCCACGCCGTTCGGAAATTACTCCCTAAAAGCTTGTCGGGGGAGGTTAGTCCCCACCTGGGCGCGCGTTAAAGCTGTCGGCGCGGTGTGTATGTTTGAGCCCTCCTGTTGATACAACTGCTTTGCGCTCATGGAGGTCAATTCTCCCAAAGTCCTTTCACAGGTTTTCTGGGATCTTAGACTTGCTTTCAGTGTTCACATCGACCGGTCTTCCTTCCTCTGCACATCAGTACAGCGCAATCAACTCAGGCATTCATGACCATCATTGCTGTGCGCTTTAATCCACGAATATCCTTCCCACGCCTTTTTAGTGGTGATGTGTGGAAGAAAAACGTGCATCATCTGAGACTCAAATGTTCTGAATGAAGACGGCGTGACTAGCCGTAGGCTTTGTGCAGTCACAAATCTGCACCATCTCTTGCAAGTCTCTGTCTGTAAGGGCGTCGTTGACCTAAACCCAATGAGGGTGTTGTTTCAGTTCTAGACTAGACCCCCCATCATTGAGACTTGTGATGTGGGATCAGCCAACACCAAAGAGTTTGGTGATGTTAGCGAGGGAATCGCTGGTGGCTCTTCTCCAACGCAGTATCAGCCCTGTACGTATCATCATTGACTTGAGCTGTTCTTGGACCTCCAGGATGTTTTTTGTTCATACTGTGGACAGCATCCTCTTTTTTTGCGTTTCCGGACGAGCCATATGATGGCAGTTTTTGACGATCGACTGCTCGTAGCTTACACTGCAACTGTCTCCGGATATTTACCACTAATTTGCGATTGCTGCATGACACTTGGCCATGACAACCATCTCAAATCATGACACACAAAATAATTTAATACAAACTTCAAATGTACAAGGAAACTAACCGCACGAACACATTTTTTGCTTCATTTGAGGTTTTCACACGACAATTTTTAATCAAACGGCAAGTCCAACAAACAAGCAGGTGTCCGGGTCTCATTCAATCCGCACAAAAATCCCAGACATTTCCGTTTAATCATATCATGTGTGCTGATGGGGACTCCGCAGGGCGTGCACGAGGCCGGATGTCATACACTCCCTGTTAGAAAGGCTTATATTCGTCAGTCCGTTGGTGGCCGAGTGAACGTTACAGGGAACTACCATATGCTGGAGCAGCACCACACAAAAGGTTATCATTTACTCGGTGCAGGCACGACGAATGGAAATCCCGTATTGAGCGGCCACACAGCCCCATCGGGTGATGGCCACTCATCTAGCGATGGTGGCTGGCTAGGTACGCAGATCGTGTGGCCAACTGGCCGCTCGAATTATCAAAAACGCGTTTGTTTTCGCGTTGCCGTAGGTACCCGCCCACAAGGTCGACAGTTAGGGCTGCCAGTACCGAACATCTCTTCTACTTACACAACACTAGACAGAAACCCGTTTTCTCTCACGCAGCGCAATCTTGACATCCCCGATATAATGGGCTGGATGTGTATGTATATATATATATATATATATATATATATATATATATATATATATATGTATGAATGCAAATGTATATATATATTTGTATAAATACATATGTATATATGCATATATATATATACACACATATATATATATATATATATATATATATATATATATATATATATATATATATATACCTGGTGTCGATAACCAGAGGTTATCCATGTATATGCAGGGGTGGTCTTACCATAGACATCAGGCTATAAGGCGCGTATGTAGAAAGTAAGACACCTAACATATTCAATTTTATTAAATATACTACTTCAGTTCCACCTTTTGCTAACTCCATAACGTACGTGTGGTATATACATATATATATATATATATATATATATATATATATGTATGAATGCAAATGTATATATATTTGTATAAATACATATGTATATATGCATATATATATATATATATATATATATATATATATATATATATATACCTGGTCTCGATAACCAGAGGTTATTCATGTATATGCAGGGGTGGTCTTACCATAGACATCAGGCTATAAGGCGCGTATGTAGAAAGTAAGACACCCAACATATTCAATTTTATTAAATATACTACTTCAGTTCCACCTTTTGCTAACTCCATAACGTACGTGTGGTACATATCACTCCGGTGTCCGTGCACACCCATCCCCGCCGAGCTGCCAGCCTTACGTGCGGCCAGCGTGGAGAGCTCCGGCCTGCGTCGGATGAGCTGCAGCAGCGTCAGGTTGGCAGCGCGCAGCACTCCGCGCACCGTGTGGATGCGGCCGCCGCTGGGCGTGGGCCGGTCGCGGCTCAGCAGCGGCACACAGTTGACCAGCGGGCCGGTGTGACCTCGGGTCACCCACAGCGGCCCGACGCGGCTGGGCACTGGACTCTGCGGCACGGACGCTCGCTCAGTCGACCTCTCGAGGTCACGTCAGCTGAAGGGGGGCGGGGTTGACGGCGGGGGATTTGCGCTGCTGACTGGTGCAGGCCACCAAAGTTTGGCCCAGCTGTTTTTCGTCAGCTAGTCCGGACTGCCCAGATGTAAACCGATGTTGCGAGTTTTGCGCAGCTTTGCATCAGACGCATTTTGTCACACAAACATGCGAGCGAACCACAACCTGTGCGCATAGACTGTCATTGAAAGCAACGTGCTCCGAGCGATCAACGGACACTCAACTTCAACGCTGCTTACATGACCATCAAACCAATGCCATTGACGCAAAAGCTTAAGAGTTATGTCCTGCCACTGTATTTGGCTTTCGTGCCAGCCAAGCGTCTGTCTCAAACTCAAAGTCTCAGTATCCCATGACTTTGACCTGCGTGGTCCATGTCAACCTACCCGTAAGGTAAGCAGGGCCAGCGGGAGGTTGTCGTCAACCACGTGACCTCTGACAAGTCGCGCCAGGTTGTCAGGCTGCTCGAATAGCTGGGAGAACAGGCAGACAGTGTGTTGAAAGCCATGACGAGGCTCAAGGGGTGACACGTTGAAAAACATAATTTTACGGCCTAGGGGTCACTGTTTACACTGTGATAATCACACCCTACAGTGCGATTTCATTCAGCAGGCTTTTCAGGCGAAAGAATAACCAGTACTTCTTTGGGTCCAGTGGTTTTTGACCTTTTGCTGGTATTAAAGGTGCACCAGCGAATTGTCAGGCACACGTGCCAGCGAAACTAATACAAGTTTGAGTTTGGAAGAGGAAAGCAATGAAGTATGGATACACCAATATTTGTCCACTCTAACGAACGCATATTCTGCGATACACATTAGAACGGAACTGTTCGGAGTTCGGACCAACAAAAAATTAAGTCGAAAGGGCTCGCCCAACGGAGGGATGCATCACGCGCCATGGTTACTCACGTGGTTTTCTTCGAGGAAGTTGTGCAAAGCTTCGTCAGCAGGGACAAAAATAGTGACGTTTTCGTCTAAAACATTACTCATTCCCACGCTCTTCAGCAAGCTAAGAAATGCAAATGATTTCAATTCCCTAAGTTGCTGAGATGCTTTCTTCATCGGTACCTGCAGCAAAAACTAAGTTAGCATTCCGCTCAGGCTGTTCTGGCCCATATGATTCCAATATTCCATTCAGTGCACAGTTAACGGTAATGTTTGGCTAAGACGAAACCAAATTATTAGAAGTGTTAAGATCCTGGGTGTCACAATCGATTGTACCGCCAACTGGGAAAACCACATCCCAATCATCATGCGTCATTGCCAAGGCGTTCTGATTGTACTGGTATAGATGGGACATCGCTTACCGGCAGAGACGGTGGATAAAGGCAAGATGTTTCCACTCATTCCATACTGCTTACCCTCTGTGCTGCCTGCTTAGCGTCACATATACAGAGGGTTCAACATGCACTGAACTTCGGCGCCCGTATCGTCCTGAACCTAAATAACAACGATCGCGTGCCTCCCGCACTGCTTGAGTTGGGTTGCCTTAAAATACCTGACATGATCACCGAACGGGACATGATGACGACGCGAGACACTGTGTACACGAGGCCTCGATGTCCGCGGTTGTCACTCGGGCCACAGCTGACGATTTGTTGCAGCTACCGCGGGTGCGCGCCGAGTTGGCTTGCCGATGCTTTGTTTCTACAGCGTCTCTCATGCGGGGTTTGCAGCCACCAGCCGTTAAACTGTCTTCCGCTGTTAGTGCCCTGGCCTTGAAAAACAGTCTGGTCGCTTACTTGCGGTCGAAATGAATCTGTCGCGCCGTGTTCATCGCCGTGTGCAATGCCCATGTATTTTTTGTGTCCAATATACGTGACGTGGATGTCGAAAAAGCTATTTTTGGTTTCCAAAATGCAATCTGCCTGATTTGCAAGCGCGAACAGTGCATGCGGCGGCTCCTTAGTGGCATTTCATTAAGACGCCTTCTCCGATACGTCTGCAACATGACTGACTGAGCGAATGATGTCGTTTTCTCCATAGGCGTTCCAAGCACGAGATGTACAGATGACTTCCGCAAGACAGGCTGCCATAATACACCAGCATTCCTTATGGTGCTTGTACGGGGATAGCATCAGATGCGGCACTCCGTACCACAATATGCGGGCTTGCCGATACGTTTACATGGAGTTCCTGTTTGCCCATAGCCTAAAAGTGGCAAAGAAGTAAAAAGTACCGTGGCACGTTAGTTATTTTTTCGAGCTTGGCCGCTCGACTAGATGTTCATAAGAATACGGTGAAATATGACCATGGCGCCAAATCTGGTCATAACAAGACACTGAGTCGACCTCGCTACCTTGTACAAAATGCTCAAATTTGACTCCATGTACGTTTCGCCGAGCCGGAATTTTACTGACCTAAGTCTCAAGTGGAGCCCATAGACTAATTTCTTCTCTGTTTCAGGACCGCAGTGCTTTAGCAGGTCCGCTCAACTTCGTGCTACCTTAGTGAAAAAAACCCGCTGGGAGCAGTTTCCAGGCGAAACTGCTCCCAGCGGGGAGAATGTGGTTCAGCCAGACCAAAATCGAAATCCACTCCGGTGGTTCCGTGCTTCACCGTACATGTCCTACTACAATGACGTAACAGGACTGTTCATTCGGATTAGAAACACTCCTAGGTGGCCTAAAAGACTCGCACATAAAACACACTCATTATGTTTAATGGGTCAAAAGAACAGCTTACCCTCATATCCCGGTGTCTGAAAGGGTCAGGCCAGGGACATGCTCAACGATGGTTAATTTGATTCACAGGGACAGCCGAAATGTTGAAAACTATGCCGTTCCTTTAACCATCTCCCGCACGGAAACAACGCTGTAGAAATGTTGCAGCATGAAGCTCGCTTACAAACATACGGTTGCCAGGCCGTTGTATCACGAGGAAATGATACGAATTCGTAGCTTGTCTTTCACCAAGTTCAGTTCATTAAGATCGTCTAATTTACAGCTGTGACGCACGATGTCCAATATCCCCTGCAATGATATCTGACAACAGTCTTTCTCGGTATCAATATTGAAGGCTGTATCTTTCCTTGCAACTTCCCATCCAGGCACGTTATTGGAAAGGCGTCTGGATATGTGGCGGCCAACATAAATTCATTTTATATAAATTTGACAAGTTATGTAACAACGCCGAACGCTCGACTGGAATTTTTCCCACCTGGTCAGTGCGTGCAGTACCCCGTCATGTTTAAGTGGCGTCCATCCAGTAACATCGGTAGTATGGCAGATTTGGTTGGAAATTGACCTTGCCAATATTTTCGAATACCGGTGAACGCAACCAAGAGGACAGCTGAGTTGTAGTATTCTTCTGCGTTCTCGTCTGCAGGCCAATCACTGTACGACATTTATTTTCCGAATCGCAGTAGCACAGGACCTACCAGGGTCTGCCTGAAATTACGTTTTATACACCAATGCTTCCAAGAATTGGATAACTCCATATCTTCCAGATTTCTAACTGATAAACCGAACTGAATATTCGAGTTCCAACGACCTGAGGCATTTGTAAAATAAAGGCAGTGTTTAAAGCATGCAAATATTTCCAGAATGGGTGAAGAATTTTCTCTGGTTGTTGTGAATTGAAACCACTTTTTAGGGTCCAGCACAACCGCATTATTAAGGTAAGAAAGTTTATCTGAGGCTTGAGGATAAAGACGTCCGGAATAGATGCATGAAAAACTACAGCAAGCTAGGCGGACTTTCATCACAGTCCTGGCACTGCAGGATGATGCGATACTGATTGTACCTCATTACCGTCTGTGTCCTTCATTTTTCACAACCGTAAGCATTTTTGTAAATAATCTGCTTTGTATTTCATGACAATCTAATTCAAGGTCTTTCTGGTCAGTGCCACGCTATCAGGCAGCATTTTCTAGCCACGATGTGGCTCGGTATTCGAAAGGTTTATGGGATTCACCCGGAACCACGCCATTACTGTCAAGCTCACCAATAACTATCCTTCCTTGAGAGGCCGCACTTTGCACCATCTTTCCGAAGGGAGAATTTGGAACACCAAAAACGACGAGTACCACGAGCAAACAATGAGGTCATTGTGTAATTTAGCTTATTCTCTGTAGAATTCGACTGCATTTCCACCACGCGCCACTCACTGGCCAGTGTCCAACATCGGACGTCGAAGTGAAACAGCTGTAACACAAATGGTCCAGATAAAGAAAATGAAACAAAGTGACTGAAAACCGAGTTTTGGTCACGGAAATGAAGAAGAGGGAACCCGTCTTTGTGATAGCATGGATCACAGGGACGCAAAAGGGATATAATCATGCAGTTCATCACATTTTTCAAAATGGTTACGCCGGCAGTCCACATCTCTTTGACCGTGAGTCGATATCGTCAATGTTCAAAGTCAATGAAAGTTTAGTTAAATTATCATATGTGATAAATAATAGTTGAGATGTGATGTGATGTGATAATGAGGTCAGCAAGATGCGATGATGAAGCATCACAATAATCTGAGGACCATTATACTGGCTGTAACATCGTTCCCAAACTGAAGGCCGACAGGGCGACACTTGTTAGAGAGGATAAAGGATGCTAAAGGTTAATTAATGCATTCCAATCAAGAACATTCCATTGCTATGTCTTCATTGGGAGTATTAAAGCATGGGTGTCACTTTCTAAAACTGGTTGGAAGGAAGAAGCTCATCCGATGAAGATAACCTATCCTGCCCCAAAGCCTGTTTCTCCCCGGATTTCGGGCAAGTAAATGTGCGCAGTCGATTTCAAGGATTTAGAATGTCTAAAAAACGTTCGGCCGATAAAAGACTGCTTATAAATACATTTCGACAGAAAATTCAATTAGGAATCGCGTGATGTCACGTACCGATGGGGACGCGAATCCAGTTTCAAGGCGTCGACCCGTGTACCGTCTACATTTCACGTGGGTAACACGAGAACGTGCGACGCACCGTTGCGCATGAATTCGTTGTGCAAGCCTGGCATGTCGGGATTGGGAAAAACAGGGCCAAATGCAACACGCTGTCGTCGAAACCGTCGCCACGATCGCGGCGAAATTGACATCACCGCACGCGTGGTTTCCCTGGCTCCAATTACCACCCATTGTTTAATCACTTTATGCGCTTTTTCGCTCCACTTTACCTGAAAGGATGCAATTTTGTTTTTTTGTGACGTCGCAATGCCCCCGATCTATCGTCCAGTTGCCGCCGCCGAGTAATTAAGTAAAACGCTGGTGCGTGCTCGTCTGCCGGGCACCCGCTTCGCCCGGGTGCGATAACTGAAATCGCCGCGCTGCGATAGCCGACGGACAGCTGTATTCCATTCATTTCCGTTGATTCTTTCGGTGCGGGTGGAAGGGTCGAAAGAGAACCCGGAGCAGAGGTCGTTCCGCGGATAGAGGACGGCGCGGGAAGAGGGACAGGAGGGGAAGCCACCCTGCAGCTACAAGATGGATCAGGAGAAAGAGCCGCAGCGGCGAGAGACGCCGCACTATGGTGGGTTTCGTGTCGGCGGAGTCAGCGGGCTGGTGCGTGTAGAGGAGCTGGTATTTGGGGTCGAATACCAATGCGACCAAACGCCGGCAGGTCTTAAAGGTCATCTTTTCGACACGAGCGGAAGACTGGAAATCGCCGTGCTGCGATCGCCGACGATCCGCGGTACTTCATTAATTTTCCGTTGATTTTTTTCTGGTGCGAGCGGAGGGGTTGATGGAGAATAGGGAGTAGTGGCCGCTCCGCAGATGGAGGACAGCACAGGCACAGTGGCGGGATGAGGAGCCACATCGCAGCTAGAGCATGGTTCAGGACGAAGAGCAGCAGTGACGAGAAAAGACGTGCCATTTTAAGGCACGTCTTAGGCACGTCCAAAAGACGTGCCAAAAGACAGGTTTCGTGCCCGCGGGGTCAAGCGGTGGCGCGTGAAGGGGAGCTGTTAAGTTGGGTTAGAATACGAATTCGGCCAAAGGCCGACAGGTGTTGCTTGTCTATCCATCTATAATACTAGTTGAGTAGGGTGCGTCTGCCTGTCTGAGGGCCGTCTTTTGGCATTGGCACGGGTGCGGGTCAAACGGTGGGTCACTTAAACGCGAAATTTTGACACGATGCACGTGCGCACATGACGGCGTGCTGAGGCGAGTTTCGTACCCGTATGGTCAACGGGTGGCGTGCGGCGCGTGTCGCGGGGGGGCGTGTTTGGGCCCCTGTCTTAGCGTAGGCGTTGCGAAAAAGCGACCTCGATGAAAACCGGCGAGCGGTCATTTGAAACTGTTTTCGCATGTTGGCAACCACGGGTTGATGCGACGGAAAGCCAACACCCTTCGACAGAAGATTTAGCGGGGAATCGCGTGGTGTTACCTGTGACGCTGCACCAGCCACGTGCCACGTGCACGGCGGCGGAGCGGACAAATTTTCCCGTTTTCGACTGTTTTTCACGTTCCGCGTCCCCGCTCGGCAACCGGAGCCGGTGGAGGCGTGAAACCAATCTCGAAGCGTCGACCCGTGTACCGGCTACATTTCACGTACCCAACAATAGACCGTGCGACGCACCGTTGCGCCGGCAATCAACGTGCAAGCCGGAAATGTCGGGATTTGGAAAAACGGGGCCAAATGCTGTCGTCGAAGCCATCGTCACGATCGTGGTGAAATTTACATCACCGCACGCGTGGGTTCATTGGCTCCAATTATTACCCATTTTTTAATCACCATATGCACTTTTTCGCTTAAATATCAACTTTACCTAAAGAGCTACAACATGACCTTTTTCGCGGCGCCGAAATGTCGCCGATCGATCGCCAGGTCGTCGCCGCCGAGTAATTCAAGTAAAACGTAGGCAAACGCACGTGCTAATTCGCCTGCCGTTCATTCGCTTGGCGCGGGCGAAAGACTGCAGGTTGTCGCGCTGCAAATGCGGTCAGCGGTATTTCATTCATTTTCCGTTGATTCTTTCGGTGCGGGCGGCAGGGTCGAAAGAGAATCTGGAGTGGGGGTCGCCCCGCAGATGGAGGACGGCACAGGCAGAGGGACAGGAGGAGACGCACCCCAGCTAGATGGCACACCAGGAGAAAGAGCAGCACAGCTGCTCTGTGAATAAACTGCGAACAAACTATAAGAAATAACTCCGGCGTAAAAGCGCATACATATTGCCACGGTAAGCTATGAACGAAAGCCATGCATCAGCGAAGCCTCAAATACTGCAGCTGTGGTGGAATCTGTGGAGCTCAACCCCAAACCTACTCACAACGCTCAACCTAAATTTTCTGCTGACCATGATGACATTCCAAGGGCCTAGGGCACGGCCTTGAAAAAGGCACCGAATAAAGAAGATTATCTATATATCCGCGCGCAATATGTATATGTATATATATATATATATATATATATATATATATATATATATATATATATATTCATATACATGCACATGCATTTCTCCCTCCCTCTCTCTCTCTCTCACTCTCTCTCTCTCTTTCTTCCCCTCTCTCCCTCTCTCTCCTCTCTTTCCCAGCCCGGGATCGTGTCTAGCGTGTCTAACGTTTGCCACCGAGGTAATGAGGATGAAACACGTCAGCGCCCCACTTCTGGCTTGAACGATGATGCTCATTATTAATATTCACAATATTAATGTATTTGCATAAATTAATGCATGTTCTGGCAAATGACCTTAATGATAACATAAGCGCGTCTACTCGAAGCAGCCGCATACGACCGGAGCACAGAGAAGGCACACAAACACGCAGCGGGCATGTTCGTTGGGCTCCTTGCATGCATTGCCACCTAATGCTATCGAACGGGCTTCCCGGCCGCGGGGGCTGGCAGGCAGAGCTGTAGTGATGGGGTTGAGCTGTTGCGCGCCGTAATCGCGAATGAAACCGGATCTGCAGCGGCAAGCATTTCCCAGATCTCATCAGCCAGTCGTGTGCGATTCATCAGGTAGGTCTTTCCATCTGCGGCAAGTGCAAATAGCGAATGGTAACGACGCGTCGGTCTTTTCACGCGTGGATACGTATCACCGATGGATGCTTTTTATTAACATGTTATCCCCGCGCAATCTCGCGCTGCAGGAACACCTGGCAAACAACTGTGTTCTTATGTCGTTTTGTACTTATCGCAGTCGAATGATTCCTCCCAATGCGTGTTTTACGGGGTGTTCCATACCACTTGCTTTCCTATTTTCACACATCACCACCACTAACCAACCGGTTAGTGGTGGCGATGATGGTGATGGATGATAACCAGTAACAGATGGGCCCACAGGCTTATCCCCTGACGGAACCCCTTGGCATGACCTGGTCCCACTTGCACCCAGCAAAGCACCTACCCGCTTGCACCGGACAGAGCACCCATACGACTGCACCTAACAGAGTACCCACCTTTAGACACGGAGCGGAATACCCGCCCTCACGCACCCAACAAAGCAATCGTCGACCTGTACCCAGCACAGCCATAAACATGGAAAACACACGCACAAGACCAACCAGCTTGTCCGCATGGAGCTGAACACTCTCCTTATGCACCCAGCTGAGCACCCGTTCGTCCGCACCCAGAAAAACACTCATCCCTCAGCACCCAACAGAGCACCCACATGCATGCACTCCACAGAGCATCCAAACCTTCCGTGACAGAGCACGTACCCGACGGCAGCCCTCGTCGGTAGGCGCCGTGCCGGGGCAGCAGCGACTGATGCGCTCCTCCACCACCATGGCGCCGTCCTGCACGCGCGTGGTCACGCACAGCTGAGTGCCGCGGGTGGCGGTGCAGCTGGCGCCGCTGCCTCGCGCGCGGGTACCCGCGGTGCCCGTGAATACCGGGCGGGTGTAGTTGCGCCGCTCTACGCAGACGTTCGCCCTGCCGGCAACGCGCCGCGAGTTGGCGAGGGGCGAAGATCAAAGCGAGGGGCCAAGGGTCGGAGCGAAGGTTTGAGGGTCGGAGTAAGGGGTTAAGGGTCGGAGCAGGAGATCGATGTTCAGAGCGAGGAAGGAGATGGAGTGGTTATGTCCGAGCCTGGAAATAGATGGGTTGTTCATACCATAGCTAGGTGGAGGTAAGTAAAGTGATGCGCAGTACCAACAGAAGTACGAGTCATTCGTCGACATCGCCTATTGTTGGGACCCGTTCCATAAGGGGAGGCGATTTCTGAACGGCTGCTGAAGTCGGTATTATCTGTTGTCGTTGAAGAATTACAACACGCTCAGCTTCTGAGGCTATGCGGTATCGCTTGCATCTCACCTTAGCAGGGAGGGCGGGCACCGAGGGGAATGGAGCCTGCACCTCTGCTTTCCCAAGCGCCCACAAGTATACATTATCTGCCTCCTGGGAGCCATGAGATTGCCCCAGGAGCGCAGACATGAGTTATTGACGGTTGGGGGAGGGGTCAGAGAAGGTCCGTGGGCATGCGCACACCAGTTTTATGCTTTCTGTAGAGAAACACCTGTGGTGAAAAACGAGAAATGGAGACTTAAGGGAAAACGGATTCTCTCTTAGCTGACCCCTGAGTGTAGACGATACATCATGTAGAAGTAAATAGGGCCTGTATCCGTTGGCAACCCGTGCTAAGAGTCCAGATCAATGCAACGACAAGAATATTTCACGAGTTTAGCTTTAGTTTTAGGTGGAGTAATGCTCAGCATCGGCGCGCAGCTTTATACACGACATTTCTAGAAGGCCGACTTTCTTTGGGTCTGGCAGGACCGGGAGGTTTTAATCGACGTACCCGAGGAATTACGAATGCTTAAATTTTCAGAGGTGGCGATGGAGACGTGGATAAAGTTCGAAGTACTTTTGGACGGATGTTGGTCGACATTAAGTGGGCTTCGTGTCAGCGTAGGTATAGGTAGGGGCAACAGCGTATTGCATGTGGGGTTAATTTCAGAAGGAATTGGTCACTTCTCGAACTATAACTGGTGGACATATTAAGAATGCATCGCGAGATCGCTTAGTGCGTGTAAGGTGCACTTGACATTTTACGAACCATGACATTTTAACTGAAATTCAGCGCAACATTGCTACCCGAGTACATGTATCTTAGACCGATATTGCTCCCTACGACACCAGCCAAGCAGACAAGATTCTTGGTTTCTGTGCATTTGTCCATACTCTCCGACCGAATTTATTTCATCACCCGCAATAACTGTCGAGACCTGACGCATTCCATGAAAATGCTACAAAGCGTCAAACAAAATGCCACCAAGTCTCCACCCTTGCGCGACATATAACGTTCCCGTCCGCACACGAAGACTCAAAACTTTCCCAATACGATTGTCCGTCTCTCCTTCACCACACTGTGTTCATCCCCCATCTGCTGTCGACATTTGGGCTTAGTCTCGTTTCGACCCGTGTCGACCAAAGCAGTGAGCAGAGCACCGCACTCACATTGCTCCCTTCTCGCATCGGCACACCGCCTGGTGGTGGATATCTGGGCGTGGATCCAGCCCGCGCTTTACAGGCCTGTCACAGTCCAAAGATATAACGCTTAAAATTCTACCCAGTTTTAATTTTGTGATTTTGTGGCGTTGGTCATGTTCGTTTATCGAGGATCCACCCACATAGTGGGTAATATAAATCTAGTCAGGCGTGCATCGCAACTAAGCGTGGCAGGCACTCACACTCGCACAACAAAAACGGTCACGGTCACGACGCATGTAAAAAAGCACGGACATCCAATTTTCGTTTATGTCGGCCGGCCCGTGGCAGGCAGGAACTCTGCTCTCCCCCGACTCCGCTGCACGACACCGCCCCGCTGGGAGGGAATTCCATGCACGCGCGGCGAATGATCTTTGCGTAGCCGACGAACGATATATCTCCTGCTGCAGATGTTCCGCAACGACCGCTCACGTCTCCCTCTTGGGACCCCTGGGAACGCCTAACGGAGATAGCTCTGAGTTCTGGCGGGCGGTCGCCTTCCTTCAGTGTGCTAAACGCGCTGAGGCAACTTTGCTGATGTGCCATTTTTTTTTTAAACGTCACGAAGAAGCCATGCATGTCACTCGTCTTGTATAACTCTGAGCGGACTCTTGTGTCAGGTGACGTGGCCCGCGATGCCGCGCTGAATGATGCCTTCGCTCTTAAATTGCTAATATCCGTGTATAAAACCCTCCACATGCGCCGTACGACCCAGTCGAGTCGCTGAGCCAGCTGCGTGTCTCTGATGCAGCCGTGCGATCTGCGATAACTATGGTCGGTCCCGACAAGGCCAGTGGGACTGACAACGTCAGTGCCTGCATGATCACCGAGTGCTCAGACGAGTTAGTTGCTCTCTCACCAAGATTTGGAACCTCTCTGTCAGTTCAGGTGCACGCAGTAAGCTGTTCCACCATGTTTCGCCGGCGTTTTGCTATTATCAGCATGGGTTTATTCACAGGTATTCACGCAGCACGAACTTATGTGTTTACCTGGAATCGGCTCCAGAGACATGCAGCTTACGTGGATAATTGGACTGCGTTTCAGAGCATTAACCATGAACTCCTGATCCACAACTCAAACAATCATACCATTTGAAGGAATTTGCACTACAGTGGTTTGCATCACATCTGTCCGACAAACGTCAGAGGGTCATCGTCAACGGAAAAAAATTCCCGATTGAAATTGGAAGCCTCTGGCGTCTCGGAAGAATCACCCTCCCCCTCGCTTTCTTAACAATCTTCCGTGTGTTTTTTAATCAGGCTGTCTTTCTACGCTGGTGACGTAAACAACTTCTGAAAAACGTCTCCGGCTGGCGGACTGTTGCTGCAGAATGACCTTGGTCATCTGGTAGTCTGGTCGGACAGGTGGAGGCTGACCCCAACCCTGTGAAATGTAACACGTTGACGATGACCCCCAGGCGTGCTCCCATCCAGACCTAGCATGATATCGATAGAACTAAGCTTGAACATGTGTGTTAAGTCAGGGGCCTTGGCGTAACGCTGGATACCAAACCAACCTTCGCTACGCATGTTTCTGACAGTCAGAAGGGGCAACCGAACATTTCGTCGATTCATACTCGGTCGTTCCAAGTCTGCTTTTGTGATCCAAGCAGGTTGAAATAATTATATAATAATCGGCAATCCTTTGTATGCAAATAAAATAACAAAATGAAGTGATACAATAAATATAATAGTTACATAACACGGTGTAAAAACAGTAAACAAGGAAAATCAATAAAAACAAAAATACAATAATTGATAATAGCCGGTTATAGCCGTTTAGCATTATATACACACACACACACACACATATATATATATATATATATATATATATATATATATATATATATATAACCATATGTATGTATATAAACATGTGTATATATATAATTTTTCGCTTGTTCTAAGCCGGTTATGATTATTATATACATATAATTATTCGATCATTCCAAGCCGGTTATAATTCACTCGGAACGCGGTGATAGCTGCGTATTTTGCAAACGTACGATCGGTTTAAGAATATTACAGCGTGGTATGGAGAGGGGCGGCCAAATCCCACACAACCCAGGTCGATCGAGTGCAGCACAAGTTTCTTATTTGCTTACCTATTCAATTTTTTTCTGACAAACAGCTTCTCTTTCACGAAGGCCCTCTGCCTCGCTTCAAGATACCATTCCTTGCAGTAAGAAGATTGCAGCACGATTTACTTTCTTAAGAAACATCTTCCGGGATAAACTGGACTCTCAGATCGTGCCAAGCTGTTTCCTCTTGCCTGTGCCGCCTCGATCGATTCTCACCCATAACTCTACTTCCTTGCGCTCGCGTGCAAACAGTGACGAGTGGTATGTTTTCCAGACTGCCAAGCGATGGGAACAATTTCTTAGCGAACGGCACTAGCGCGGATGTCTTTCATGACAGTTTTGGCATCAAGGGCGGGTCTAGAGGAGGGGCCCACGCTGCTATGGCTCCCTCTTGGGCCCGAAGAGGCCCACTGGCGCAGGGGGCTGATATCTGGCCGAACAGGTCCGGTTAAAAAAAACGCAATGAAATTTAACGTCTCTGGATTTCGAGACGAACAAGAATAGTTGCAAGCAAAAGTGAACGGCCCACGAGAAGTAAAAAAAATCTTCAGTGATTGAAAAAGTTGTGAATGGAAAATTAGAAGACTTATTGCACTGTATAGGGCCCTATGCTTTTTCTGAGGTGACCTATATGCCCACTTGCAGGGTCATTCCGATCGTTAATGAGCCTCCCACGCTGTTCTTGATTTCTTTGCATTTTCTCTAAGGGCCCTGCACTGTTGCTGGGCCCTTCCTGTTAGCGCGCAAGAGCGCTCTTGTCAATCAAGGGCCCTTCGAAAGATTCTTTCCATTCACCAGAACGGCTCTGTGGCCTATAGCTGGGACCCCATATCTTAACCTGTCGGAACACTCTCAGCTGCTCAGGGACCCTTTAAGTGGGTCTGGGTTAACCCACCGACACACTCGCGATATGCTCAGCGGCCCTCTACTTTGGTCTAGGGCGCTTCCAATTCTCTATCACTTGTTTAGGGGCCTGTGCTCTTGTCGGGGGCCCATCTCATAGCCTGCTTGAATACACTCGGCCGTTCGGGGACCCTCCACACTGGGTCTTGGGTACTTCTTGTCTGAATGGGGGGACCTACGCTTTTTGGGGAGGATAGGGCTATCTGATAACCTGCTCGGGCACATTCGATCGTTCGGGGGCCCTCTTCACTGGGTCCTGCTCATATGATTACCTGCTCGGGTACACTGCATATTCCTGGGTCCCTCCGCGCTGGGTTTTGGGCACATTTTATTTGAATGGAGGACCTTACGGTTTTGTCAAGGCCCCGTCTGATAAGATGCTCGGGTCCATCCGGTCGTTGGGGAACCTCTACATCTGGTTTTGGGTACTTTCTATTTCAATGGAGGTCCCTCCGCTCTT